CCCAAACTGTCTCTGTATTGTTATTTATATTTAATTTTCGACATGTCGCCTCCGGTTTCTCCGCTCTACGGATTGGCGCCTGCGCATCGGAGCTCGCCAGCACGACCGGGGGCCCCGTCTACCCATCCGCCCGTCTACCCGTCCGCCCATTCGCCCATTCGCCCATTCGCCCGTCCGCCCGTCCGCCCGTCTGCCGACGGGGTCGTTTTTATCAATCCGCAATAATGAGGCTTGTGTTGGGAGCGAGAAGGAAAAAACGGCTGTTAAAAAATGTGGGCAAACAGCATTCCTGGGACTGGGCTTATTCCGAGTCATCTGACCCGTCGCCCGGCTCCAAGCGCTGCAGACGGCTCCTGAAATATAATTGTCCTAATCGCAAGAAAGTCATACATCCCCCCCCTCCCCGCCTTTGGCGATAAATATGTATCTGTATCCTATTCTTCCAGCTGGCCTGGGTGGGTGGGGGGGGGGCATGAGCTAAAAATACAGGGGTAAACAAACACACAGGGGGGCTGGACGTCGGAAATGGGAGAGTGTCGTGACCAGGGTGGGGTGTGCAGATAAAGAGCAATGCCCCCCAGCCCCCCCACCCCACTCAGAGCATGCGGTCAGATGCCGACGTACAAACAGAGATGGTTGTTCCTCTTTTTTTTCTTTTTCTTCGTTTTCTCTTTTTTTCCCACGGCCAGAAAGCCGACCTTGCTTTTCTCCCTGCCGTATAATTTACAGGCTTTATCAAATTTCGAATACACGGGCTGTATTTCAGAAACCCTGACAGAAATACAACGGGAACCAGACCGAGTCTGACTGTGGAAAAGCTTGGCCGTCTCTACTTCCTCTTCCATCCATCCATTCATCCATCCTTCCATCCTCCCTGGCCTCTTACTGAGTACAGAGGTCCCGTCGGGGTGCCAGTCCATCACAGAGCAGCACAGAGACACAGGCTCACCTAACTCACCGTCTTTAGACCACAGGAGGAATATATAGGGACAACCCAAACTCAGAGCAGGGGGGGGAAACAAACCCCCCAGAGGTGTAAGGCCACAGTGCTGACCCTCGAGCCGCACGGACAGATGGTGTGGAAGGGCAGTCACCGCATTGCAAGGCGGTATTTTCGTTTTTTATATTCAGAAGCAAGATGAATGAAGGAGTTGCAGTGACTGACCTGACAGCTTAGCACCTCCAAGAGTGCCTTTGAGCTCTGAACCAATCAGAGAGCGGCGTTGTGTTTTGATGTGATGTCACAATTGCATGCTTCCAGCACAATGCCTTGGCCACAAAGCCACCTCTGAAGCAGGCTCGAAAAGTTTTTCGCATAATTTTTTTGGAATTATTTTTTTTTTGTCCGGCCACTATCCAGCCCACCTTCCCCGCGGCCCACCTTCCCCGCGGCCCACCTTCCCCGCGGCCCGCCCGCCACGCCCTCGCCTCCGCACTCTGTCCTACCCACTAGCCCCAGAGGCTTATCACCCCTGAGTTTCAACCTCCCGTAAACACGGGAAGGGGTCTGCATCCCATAATGATACCGGGAACGGTGTGCTGGGTGCAGAGGAGCAGATGCGGCGACAGCGAGAGCGTGGCTTTGGAAACGAGACCTCATCCAGAGCCAAACTGACAACCCTCTGCGGAAAAACAGCCATCGTTTGCTGGGGACCTCGATCCATGAAAACAGAGCCCATGGAAACCGCAGGCTTAGTCTGAGCAGGTCTCAGAACTGCACCTAATCCTGGAACCGTGTCCCGTTACAGAAAGGGGGAGGCTGCAACCACGGCGAGACCTCCGGTCTTTGCTCTGCAGAAACTTAGCAAAAGCCTAGGTTTCCAACCTGTTAGCGCA